AAATATATGTATTCAAATAACTGTGCATGAATAGAGGTAATATTGGAAAAATTGGCCCAAGATTTCTGTATCTCTTACAGAGGTGAAAATGTCTATTAGATGCCATACTCCCCTAAGAACTGTGAGGAAGTCAAAATTCTGAAAGTAATTCAATTTCTCCTCTTTCATTATTAAGGTTTAATACTTTTTTGAGGTTGGAGAACGCAACATACCTCATTACAGACTGGTTAGTACGGAATGTGAAAAAAAAAAGGCTGCTAAGTATTGAAATAATGAGGGCATTTTCCTCCTTCCACATGTAAATTGACTCATATTCCGATTTATTTCCACATAAATATACGTTGCATATGCTAATACACAGAATTGAAACAAGCAAAAAAAATTAAATGCATTGTAAAACATATGGAAACATACAGATTATGTGATCTTTACTAAAAATCCATCTTAATGATGAAAGCACCATTTAGCACCCACTCTGGAACTGCACTCGTTCATTTATTTATGAGACACTACTTTCTGTAGACAAAGAAAGTATCTTCCAAATATAGGAGTGCCATATTTTCAGGGCATACTGTATATTTTATTTTTGTTACTAGTAAATGTCAAACAGTATTCATACACAGTATTGACGCATTAATGTTTTCATTCAACAGGGAAGATACCTTTCCTTGTTACATTATATATTTATGACACACAGAGCTGTCAAATAAATTATGTCAAAACAGCTAAAGTCAGACCTCATGACACTTGAATCATAGAATCAGGGCAAATAACCTTTAAAATGAAAGACATATGATGAGAATTGGAAACATTTAATTTGCATAAATATAATGTTAACAGTCTTTTCCTTATTACATATTTTATGCCTAATTTATAATTGTCACTATATTCATTTCTTAACATCAGTTTGCACTCTTTTTTTTTTTTTTCCTCGTTGCTCGCTTTGTTTTGGAATGTGTGAAACACAAATTCTGGATGAAGCATATGATCGGATCCCCATTTTAGCATATTCCGATTAGCACATCTTAAATTTTGTGGAGAACTCTTCATTCACATAATGTACTATCTAACATTTAGAATTTATTCCTAAAAATAGCTAAAAATTCCTGAACATATCAAGCAAATACATCTCTGAACATATTGGGCTATCTCTTTAAAACAATCTTTTATTAATGTTTTCCTATGAAGTGCAGAATACAACAAAATGTGCAAAATCGAAGCATTGATTTTCATCAGCTAAACAATTCATACATTTTGAATTTAAGAACGTAAAATCTGAGCATCTAAGTATGCATACAGGAATCAAAGTGAATGGTTAGATTTTCAGAACTGCTTACTACTCAGAGTAGTAAACTCATGGGTTTCGTTAGTTAAACCTGGAAGTAAATGAGACACTTCTCCGAGCCTCTGCTGCAGGCTGCAAAGTATCTCTTACACCTGTAGACATTGATGGGAATGGAGAGAGCTTAGCACTTTGCAGGACTCTGCCCTTACTGCTAACACTGCACAAGCTTATGGATGCATTTACAGTTAATAACACTTTGCATTACTCTGAAAACTCCCTAGGGATGTTCATTCAGGTAAATAAGGCTGGAAGGCAGTGAGATGGATGTCTGCATCAGGAGGGCACAAGAACGAAAACCCTTGTTCTTACTGACCGTAGTTCATCTCCATGTGGATAGCAAGACTAAGGTCTGCACTGCCATAAGGAGACACAGACTTTATGTAGTCTCTTTGCTACAAGGTGAGTTTGTCTCACTTCAGCTTTCTGAATCAGAAGAATAAATGTGACTTATTCTATTTTATAATATTCTGTTACTTTATAACCACAATAATTGGATTAGACGATCAACGTAGGTCTCTTTCAACTGAAATACGCTATCCTATTCTCTTCTATTCTGGTGAAGCTTATTGGGATGTTTTGGGTTAAGTTCCTATATTTTTACATACTGATTCTTTCTGAGAGCAAGAAGGAAGCCAGTGGACAGTGTGTACAAAGGAGCACTGAGAAAAGGGTTGAAACTGATAGTAAACTCCAAAACTTAATCTGGAATGTTAGGGTGTTTCCTTAAAACTTCAGCAAAGAATTGAGCAGTTGTTTGTCAGTTTACTCTGCAAGTAAAGCAAACACACCACCCGCAGAGATTTGCAGAGAGCAACTCAGAGAAGATGCTAAGCAACTCCCAGCCCACCAGTAGAGCGACCAGTGATCTCCCGATGGTTGATCACTGGTGTATGAAATCTAATGGCATGTCATCCTGGTCACCTGAAGACAGGCAATCACTAGTTTTAGCAAACGTCAATAACTCAGAGCAGTGGTGTTGGAAAAATGGAAACTGCACCAGTAGTGAAGTAATTTGCCCTCCTAGATCAATGGTAGAAAAGAAATGACCCTCCCTCACCCATTAACCATGGTCTGACAGTGCTTAAGCCCAGTACAGGTGTTTTAGAAGCAATTGAAAGGGCAGCTATCTTCGTGAGTCCCTCATGAAGAAAAATTTAGGCTAATTATATAAGGTAAAAGACATTACAGGAATATTACAAGTATCCCAAAGCCCAGTATTGAAAGGTTAAGAAATTTAGAGTTATGATTAAATGTTTTAATTTAAAGAAATGTGTTTCATCCCTGTTTCTGCCCTGAGAGACAATCAAGCAGTAATCACAGCATTAAGACATTTTGAGTTTGAAGTCTTACACTGATGAAACACTTTTTAAATGACATTGGGTCACAAGAAGGTCTCTGAGCTAATGGGAGATAAATGTTCATCCCAAAACTGCCATTTCATTGTGGAAAAGTTATTCCTATTGAAAGCAGTGGATAATGGAAGACAGTTTGATTAGCACTACAAAATTGTTAATTTGATGCAGAGATGCAGAGGATTTCATCAAGGGCTAACACTGAAAAGAATTTAAAAAGCATCCGTGTTGTTCCATTTACAAGATCATTCAGAACAAAACTGAAAGCCTCCTGGTAGATGTTATCTTTGCTAATGACCCCATTTTTAACAATTTCATTAATCGACTTATCTGTAAAATTTTAGAAAAAACATTTAGCCATCAAAGAATAAATACTGAACTTAGTAGAAAAGATAGCATTTATTCAGTTTGCAGTTAAGTAGAGCTCTCCATTTAGCTGTGACATAAAACTGATGTTTCTACAATTAAAGTACATTGTAAATAGATTCTAAAGTGTTAATAAATTACTAAAACTGTTTAAGGAAATTATTAATCAAATGTTACAGCCTGTTACTGAGTCTGAGGATGTAGTGAGTCATTTGCAATCAACTACAGCATCTGAAATGAATGCACTTGGGACAATGTACAGAATTTATTTCTCCTGTGTATAACAAGTTTCTCACAATTTCTAATCAACCTTCACAATTACAACCAATTTGCATAATAAATATGAAAGCAGTCTCAGAATAACACGTACAGAATGCTTCTGGTCATCTGTGGGACAAAGTGGGGAACAACTGCAAGAGTCATCTATAACTGAAGGGCTGGAAAACCCGATGAGTCTCTCTCATTGTCTTCTAGTAATGTAGAACCACCAAGACCAGAAGAAAAGCCTATAGACACCTTAGCACAACTATGCAGAGATGTGAAAATCAGTCCACGAGCCACCTCATCTACTGCAGGCAGCTGTTTTGGGCAGTCAGAGCAAGAGGAGTCTGGACAAGCATACACATGTAAATGCTGCTGAAAACAGGATACTTAACATTAGATTTTACCTATACACTCCAGCTGCACAAAGTACCCTTGTGCTTGTCCCCTCTCTGTAGTACTAAGATGACCATTATGGCTGTGCCATTTTAATCTATTTTTTAGCTTCCATAGATTTTCTTAAGTCATTGAGTAAAAATTCTACTTCCTCATCCTTTTTCATTTTTTGATTGGCTTTTGCTCAAGTCACATTCTACTGCTAGTGTTCATGTATGGCAACAAAGACAAGAGGAGAAAAAATCATGCATGTTGCCACATAATATGATACTGATGTGCTAACATAATCTGATACGATTGGTGGCAATCCATAATTACAAGCCAAATACTCAACTCGTGAATTCCTCCACCTCATTTGTGTGCTTGCACACAGTACTGCACACCAGAACTGGGGATGAGACGTGGCACACACCTTATGTGCCTCTCCACTACCATCCCTCAGCTACCACAGCTGAAGATTTCAACATCAAGTAAATCACAGCTCAAACTGGAAATGCAAACTACTCTGTGCTGGAAACAAGAACAGGTTTAGGAAAAATATTACCAGTTTTTCCTCTTCAATCTGAGCTAAAGAATACCTGTGGCTTTGGAAATGTAGCAAACCATAGTAATAACTCATGACAACTACTAGAGGGGGAGACAACCCAGTGCACTTAGCCAACACACATCTGCCTTCTCTGGCTATACAGTGCTCCTGCTGACCTTAGCAGGCATTAAAAAGCATACAAAACCAAGTACAAGAAATGGAACAATATGTTAGCTGTGATGTGATGCTGTTATTGCAAGTGGCTGTCTTGAACAGAAGAAAGGATAAGTAAAGCCATTAGAAACAGAGTATAGACTGGTATGTGACTTCCTGCATATACTGTATCAATCATTACACACTGGTTTTAAGAATTCATAATGTCTTATTATTCTATGCACAGAACTATAGGTGCATATTACAACTAATGTTACAATAGAATATATCTAAAAGAATATACCTTACTGGTAAACACAGTCACTACCTCATGTCTGTTTTCTAATAATTCGTATCTAAAGATATATAAAAATATTATACAGAACCACTATAGAACAATTATATGAACATTCTCTGAGTGATGGCAGTAGAATTTTTTTTTTTCTGAATGGCAGATCTGTTGTTACTGAATGTTGTAAATATATATGGCATACAGAAGATCATCGCTGAGATTCCATGGAGAAAAAAGCTAAGGAGAAACCTTGGTGTAGTTCATTCTGAATATGAACAGATCAAACTAGTCATATGCAATGAGTTGACATCACACTTCACTCTGTTCACTGAACTTGCTGTAGTTCTAAATTGGGAGAAACGGAAAAAAAGTGTATTATAATTTTTTCCTAGAATATCATGTAAAATTAGCAGATGAAGCAGTGCTAGTTTGGAAATATCGTCATTATAAAGACTAATAAATCAAAAAGTTATTTATGATGAAGATAAACTGCATAAAGCAACAGATGAGTCTCTCATCAACTTATCAACATAAAAATTAGAGTTACACAACATTATCCTTGCAGGATGTAGATAAGAGCACCTTTGCATTTCTGAACAGCAAATGAAAAGGACCCACGAAGTCCTCATGCCTCTACCTTTCTGCCAGTGACAGACTATTTCCTGCTGTGGGGGGAAGCTGAAATGTAAATAGGCGCGAATCACTTTCCGTAAATCTCCAACTCCTTCTTTTCTTTTTCCTTTTCTTTTCTTTTCTTTTCTTTTCTTTTCTTTTCTTTTCTTTTCTTTTCTTTTCTTTTCTTTTCTTTTCTTTTCTTTTCTTTTCTTTTCTTTTCTTTTCTTTTCTTTTCTTTTCTTTTCTTTTCTTTTCTTTTCTTTTCTTTTCTTTTCTTTTCTTTTCTTTTCTTTTCTTTTCTTTTCTTTTCTTTTCTTTTCTTTTCTTTTCTTTTCTTTTCTTTTCTTTTCTTTTCTTTTCTTTTCTTTTCTTTTCTTTTCTTTTCTTTTCTTTTCTTTTCTTTTCTTTTCTTTTCTTTTCTTTTCTTTTCTTTTCTTTTCTTTTCTTTTCTTTTCTTTTCTTTTCTTTTCTTTTCTTTTCTTTTCTTTTCTTTTCTTTTCTTTTCTTTTCTTTTCTTTTCTTTTCTCTTTTCCTTTCTTCTCTTTTCTTTTCTTCTCTTTTCTTCTCTTTTCTTCTCTTTTCTTTTCTCTCCTATCCTATCTTATCCTATCCTGTCATTTTTTCTTCATATAAACACTCAAAATTCCTACTAACATCAGCATCTTAAAGAGGCATGGGAAGGATGCATAGATTGTGTTAGTTAGAGTGTGGTGCTGCTATTGCTCTCATCCTGCCTTTCTACTCCTGTTCATTCTATCTTCAGGTGTGAAATGTAAGGAAAACACACAAAAAAACCCCAAAACACATACTTTGAATACTCTGAAGAGGCACCAGCAGATATATGCACTACTCATAATTACATTTACAATTTGAGGCTGCATGCAAACCTTTCAGGCTAATTCGATAAGTCACTATTCCGAGTTTTGATTTGCTTAGCAGCTCTGGTAGAAACATGGGATGAGTTCCTAGAAAAGTGCACTTCTGAGCTCTAATTCCTCCTTTTCGTTTTGAACATTTGTCTTGGTCTTTCCATGTCCCATTCCGTAAAATAGGAATGCTAGTACCTAACTATCTTTCAAGAATGTTAGGAAGGCTAATGGATGTCTATAAAAAATGCAGACATTTTATAACACAACAATCATCCTAATTCATCTAATCAGTCCCAGACAAAATATACAATAGCCATCCCCATTATTTTTGCCCTGCAGTAACCATTTAGTAATTATTTTTTTTTTTTTGCACAGCAACAAAATAAAAAATATTGTAAAGCTCTGAAGAGAACATGTTTTTCTGGTCAATCCACTAGACCAACTGTGCCAACTCATCTTATCTGGGTAAATCAATGGAAAGTGATTTTGCCCATAGGCAACTCTAATTTAATTAGTAAAATATAAAGTGGAGAAAAGAAAACAACACCCAAACCACAGATCGTGATGAGTTTAATGTTTCTTGGAGAAGGCTCTGAGCCATGCTCCAGCCATGTTTGGAATCATAAATAAAACCATGGGAAAGCATACTACTTGCATTGCATGCTCAGTTATGCTGGGATTACAGTGGAAAAGGCTCACATAATTTATGAGGAAAGCCCAGGTTTACAGCCCTTTAACAAGGAATGCAAGAATTATTATTGAGCAAGTAAATATATGTTCATGCAAATGCGTGTTTTCAAGTCTCAAGCTTTAATTTCTGAGCCGTCTTCCTTCTCCTTCTAGCTTTCTCTTCCACTTTGTGCAATTCCTCTCCCCTCTTTCCACCACACTGCAGTGCCAGACAGAGACAAGCTTACTAGCTAGAAAACAAATTGCTAAGGATCCAGAACATTGCGATGCTGTGTGAAGTAGCTTTAAGCAAGCCATGCTGAGGAAGAGAGGAGTGTAGTTTCAGTAAGGCAGAAATGGGTGGGAATTTATTTGCCTTACCGAGAGGCTACGTTAGGTGTTTCCAGATGACATTAAGCTCTCCAGTGGAGAATGTCCCCAGATTAATGCACTAGAACACCAAGCCTCTGGATCTAGCATAAAAGGCCAAGAAGTTGTTGCTAAAAGAGAGAAGGTGACAGGGAGAGAGTGCTAGTAGGAAAAACTTGGTAACTGCAGTCCAGAGGCTGAGGACCAGTTGTAGAGAATAGACAGATAAAAAATTTATATACAAAAGGTTCATTGGGTAACTAAGATTTTCCCAGACTTTTAACAAATTGCCGTGCACATCCAAGCAGCCCTCCAGGCTTCACCTACTGCTGCTGCAAGTCTCACCCTGTGAATTTGAATGGCATCGATTGCTGAAGAAATAGATTCAAAGAAGATGGGATTTTCAGATTCAAGATTTCCTCCGTACTGCATTGCTTTTATCAAGGAAGCTGCAATAAAACAAACACACGAGCACTGATAAGGTAGTGAGTGTATACAAACCATCATGTTAAAAATGTTGCTGTGAGCCAATACTTGCCTTTGCAGTGTGCTAGCAACATGTCGATGTGTCTGTTTCTACAGTCCATGTAAATCTATATGTGTGAAAACAGGAAATTCAAAAAAACTGTTCAGAATACCAACAGAGAATAAAATACGCTAGAAGAAGACACTCCAAGCAGGCAGAGCACGAAGCGCTGCTGTTGAAACTATACTGCCAGCAGCCACCAGAGTGAGCCATCCTGTAATGTGAACACCACACACCCATCATTTCCCACCCCCTCAAAGTACTCTACAGCTCTGCTGGTGATAAAATATATTAAATCTGAATTTGATTTAAAAGTTAGCATTTTTAAAATTATATTTCTTAGGGGTTTTTTGCTCCAGTTTTCCTTTTTCAGGAAGTTTGCTCATCTCCTCGCCACAGGCTTACCTACTAGTCCACAAAGACTGGAATCAGACCTAAGAAACTTTGAAACTTCCAGTAATCTATCAGAAAAGCACCATAACCATCATTTACATTCTGTGGTAAGTTGTTCTTTATTCTTTTTTGAAAATATTCAACCTCACAGAGACTAAATACTCAATAAATTAGAAATTTTTAAAAAGTGAAAAGAGTTCTAGAAACAGAGTAGGGCCTTTTCTGGCAGATAACAAACATGCAAAGCAGTCCCTGGTTAAAAAAAAAAAAAAAAAAAAAGAGTTTAAATAATCCACATAAAGTGGAACAATTCTGAGAGGAGATTCAATGAGAACCACATCAGAATACCTTATTTTCAAAAAGAAACTAAAAGCCTGACTCAGACTAAAAATCTCTCTAACTCCAGCTCCAAAGACAATACTTTGGGCATGAGTTTCATGAAGCAGACACATCGAGTGTGTTCTCAGTTTTGGACCACTCAGAGGCTGCGCTCCCAGCCTGCACACTTCACAGCCCATGATGGACTTAACTTTCACAAAATCTATCTGACACTTCTTTGATATAATTTGTAGTTCTGAGGTCTCTAAGATCTTTTGAAAATTGGTATCATAAATCTCTTTTTAAAAAATTAATGCTTTATCTACTAATTTTATTCAATGTTTTACATTTTGAGATGGGACATAACAAAGAGTAACTCCTATTCACTTCATTTAATTTTTCCAGTTTTATTTTTGACTGTGTCCCCACTTGGGCTGGATTGTTGATCTGCTTGAGGCTAGGAAGGCTCTACAGAGGGATCTGGACAGGCTGGATTGATGGGCCAGGGCCAACTGTATGTGGATCAATAAGGCTGAGTGTCGGGTCCTGCACTTGGGTCAGAACAACCTCACACAACCTTTGGGGAGGAATGGTTGGAAAGCTGCCTGGTGGAAAAGGATCTGGGGGTGTTGGTTGACAGCCGGCTGAATATGAGCCAGCAGTGTGCCCAGCTGGCCAAGAAGGCTAATAGCATCCTGGCTTGTATCAGAAATAGTGTGGCCAGAAGGTCTAGGGCAGTGATTGTGCTTGTACTTGGCACTGGTGAAGCTGCACCTTGAATATTGTGATCAGTTTTGGGCCCCTCACTACAAGAAAGACATTGAGATGCTGGAGCCCATCTGAAGATGAGAAACCAAGCTGGCGAAGGCTCTAGAGCACAAGTCTTACATGGAGTGGCTGAGGGAACTGAGGTTGTTTAGCCTGGAGAAAAAAAGGTTGAAGGGAAACCTTAGCCCTGTCTACAACTACCTGAAAGGAGGTTGTAGAGAGGTGGGTGTTGGTCTCTTCTTTCAAGTAATAAGCAGTAGGGCAAGAAGAAATGGCCGGAAGAAATTCTGCCAGGGGAGGTTTAGATTGGATATTAGGAAAAATTTTGTCACTGAAAGAGTTGTCAAGCATTGGAAAAGGCTGCCCAGAAAAGTGGTGGAGTCACCATCTCCAGAAACATTTAAAAGACATGTAGAAGTTGTGCTTAGTGACCTGGTTCAGTGGTGGACTTGACAGTGCCAGGTGAACAGCTGGACTTAAAAGACCTCTTCAAAGTCTTTTCCAAACTAAACGATTCTATGATTCCGTGATTCTATATGTAGTTTTAATTTAACATTTTTAAGGCAATACTTACTTCACTGCTTAATCACTGCAGGAAATTGTCAAAATGGTTAGAATAAGAAAAGGCCTGGGTTGAGACCCAAGTCCAAATCTGGTCTTCTATTTTACTTAGAAAAATTATATGACCAAACCTTGCATATCGGCTTAAATCAGTACCCACTACACATCTATTAAATGCCAGACCCAATGGAAATGTAAGAAATAGCTTTTGAATGTAATTTTTCACCCACTATATCGAACTGCTCATTATGTGTTTACTGGTTTAGGTCTTTTGGGAGCTTTTTGGAACTCCTGCAATGCCTGAGGAATCCAGCCTGCTAGGTATGTAATCCACAGAAGAAAACATGAAGAACATTAAGACTTCTGGCTTAGAGGAAAGCAGGACATACAGATAAAATCACGGAATGAAAAGCTGAAATTTTAAAGGGGTAAATCCACTGCAACTGATATAACCGACATGAGAGGGTCTAATATGACCTACAACAGCTTTAATTTTTTCTTTTTAAAAAAGTTCAGAAACTCACCTCCATTACATAGATACTTACATTTGCACTGAATGTCACTCAAAGTCTTTAGAGTTATTTCTTACATAATTTTATATAAGTGCAGTTTAATACCAAATCTGTGTTCATCCTTTCCACAAGGGATATGTTTATCCACTGATATAGGTGAGGTGACTAGTAGGTGGCCCAAACAACTTGTATGTGTAATTATATTTCTATGTACAGCATTTGTCTGATGTCATGAATACCTGAAGCAGAACTGATATTCCAGTGTAGTCAAAGAAATTCAGTCCACTGCAGTCTAATATCAAAACACGTCGCTCACTCTGACATGACTGCAACAACTCACCTAAACATTTGATAAATGAAAAACTTTAATTAAAAGGGAGAATAGTCAAGAAATTCTTGTAAGAATAATGATAGTTCAACAAAATAATCCCAAATTATCATAATAAAAATGTTAGTATTATGTACTGGGGTATCAGTCAAGCAAATGGCACATTTCAGAAGCACAAATGCAAATGAAGGACCTTCAAAGCAATGGAATGGTGTGATGACGGACAGAATATATTAGTGAGATGTTTTAGACAGGAATAGTCTCTCAAGAATTAAATGATTTCTTCTTCAGATCTGAATTTCTAAATGAGTCAGGAAAATATCTTGGCTTGTTTGGAAGAGTTTACATGGGATACACAGAAAATATATCTCTCTTCTAAGTTCTGATATGACATTCATTTCTGTAGTACCTAAATGCCTGCCTATGGGTCAACAAACATCCTCCCAAAGGAAGAAAAATATGTAAAGTTGAGTGTTTAATTTTCCTTGGATTTTACTGTGCTGGTTTTTGTTTGGTTAATTTTTTATATACTGTCATGTATTGAGGCTGGAGAAAAAAAAAGATGGTAAAATTTGCGAAGATCTTATACTCATTCTTCACCCTCAGGCTGTCTTGTGCTTAAACTTAACACACTCTGTACTAAATGCGTCCTGAACTAACACATAGATAAATAATTCCTGTCTTCCATAAAGGGAAAACTAGAAAATAATGCACATCTTATTTACATTGCTCTGCGAACAAATATTAGTTATCATAATGCAGAAAACTAAAAAAAAATGAAGAAAAGGAATTCTGAATGTAAAGATCGGTTAAGCTAAATGGTTTTGACAGAGCGAAGATTTTAAACTCTAGAGAGAACGTAGAATTTCTCCACATTGTAGATTTATAATGGTGCTAATTCCTTTCTGACAGTACTCTGAGAGCCAGAGCCTTTTGGTCTTGTATCTCCAGAGATTTACTGTCTTTGTACTGTCCAATGTACATTAATAGATATACACCAAGCAAAAATACAGAATTTCGAAGGAAACCTCCTGCCTGACATTACTGTGATGAAAACCAAGAAAGGATTTATGAGATCGGCTCGGCTGCTCATTGCAATCTTCTCTACACATCTCCTCTGCCCCTGAAACAAAAGAACTTAGTCTTCCTCCCTGTTACTTACTCGTGCTACCTTCCCACCCAGCCGGCATCCTGCTCTCCAGTAGAGGCTGCCTGGCCTCTGAGCGGGGGGGTGGGTACAGACCTGCTCCCTCTTGGAACCAGCAGCAATGACAACAGCAACTGTTTAATTTAGTGCTGATACAGACTAGTGGCAAATTGGTATTCCCCAGAGGGAGAAAGGAAAGGTTTTGACAACGATATACATTACCGCGCCTTCCAGGCCAACTGTGGTAAGGATTAAGGATTATGTCTTCCTGCTCCCCGCCTTCCTAAAAATGTAAGCCCCATGTTTTGTTTTCCTTTTTATAGAGATTTCCCTTTTTTTTCTCTCTGGTTTTTATTTAAAAGCTCCTATGAAGAGTCACCATAGACTGATTGGTACAAGGAACAGCAGAGCGTTTAAGTCCTCAAGGCAGGACTTAAGCAATCAGAAAAGATGTCTTGTGCTGTCTGTCGCTTCTGTAACATGAGAAACCAGTTCATCCAAAAGAAGACTGAAATATGTACTGCCAAGACCTTCCAAAAATCTCCTCACATATAACATGCTTTGCACTCTTTTAGTATTTTACAGTATAGTGCTGTATAGTCTTCAGCAGCCATTATCATTGTGTTGCTGTGTGTTACAGCAAAGAACTCCATCACCCTCAAGCAAACTAAACACAGTAGTATCATAAAAATATCATGAGTCTAGTTTATAAATGTAAACATTCAGACAACAGCCCCCAAATCAGATTCTCTGCTGTGGCCTTAATGCTTGTAAGTGTTTTAAATAAACACAATACTTTAATTCCATCCATAATGAAGTCATCTGCATAAAGTATCTTCTGCAAAAGGTTGCTGCGGCTCTCCCATGGGAACATACGTGCTGTGGTTTGATTTAAGCATTATAAAATGTGGAATGAGTGGAATTATCCAGCTTAATCCTTTTTCTCTATTCTATACTGTACAATATTGGTGGCCATTATGTCACTGATAATTCGGTTGATGTTTTCTGAGATTTTCTCCTGAGTGGCTTTACAGATCGCAAAAATTTAACATAGCTCAGATCTCATCCTATTTTTACTTTTGCATGCTAATATTCAAGTCCCACTGTGAATGCAAAAAAAAATCAGGAAACAAGACCAGAGCTCAACAAAACAGCCCCTTAGGCCTTTGACTGAAGACTAATCCTGGTAGCAGCATGAGAAGCAGTTCCCCCCACTGCATACCTGCCTCAGTATGCACATGGTGGTTCATGACAGACAAGCAGGGACTCCCACAGAAAAGGTATTTTCATTGGTTCCCTGCTTTCAAAATCTTAAAAAGTCAAGAACAGAATAAAAATAAGACCTGTTAGGCAAAGGTTAACAGAGTTTAACACTGTTTAGCACTCATGCTTCACTGAATGTGTGGTCTAACTGAAAACATTCATTTCCAAAAAACTTGAGTTCACTTAGAAATAAATAGATAAGCGTGGAGCCACTTTTCACACTTATATCCATCTTGGTTTTAATATCATTCGTAGATAATAAACTCACCAGGACAACTTCCGTTGGAAAATGAACAGAGCAACGTGTTCTGATCACACTGAAATGAAAGCAGCAAACTATTAACATAGCAAGGAAAACTAGTCAAATGCATAGTAACCAGAGAAAATCAATGCTACACATAAGAATTCTGTCTCTCAATATCAAAGCTAACTCCTTCTCTCCGAAGTCATGTTGTACACAACAGTCTATTGGATATATAATATTTGCTGAGTATGTCTCTCAGTATTCTTGTAAAGGTGTACCAAACTGTTTCCTTGCTTTTCTTTTTAGATGACTCCACCTCTGTCATGTTTGGATCCACTAGAAAGCATATTTTGAACACGATGCTTCTGGCAAAGCAGGGATAGGTTAAGAAATGGTCAAAAGATGGGAAAGATGATCTTGATAAATTCTAGTCATTGATTTGATAAGATTAACTTTTGATTCATTTTCTGCTTGCTGTAATCTCATCTGCTATGCTAATATTTTAGTGAGCACGTTTTTGACTTGTAAATTTTTAAAAGAATTACCTTTATCTGGAGAAATTTTTTAATAATGATTTCAATATGAATGTTAAGTTCTCATTAGAAATACGAGTTAAAATCAGAAATACCACACAGAAATAAAATCCAAAGTCCAATTTTTTTTTACTTTCATTATATGTTGCAGAGAGACCTTTATTCCACAAAAAAAAGCACGCACAGTATTTCAGGCAGCTGTGCTGCCAAGTACCTTACAGAAGAGACAAAGGATAAAATCTCCCTCCTAAGTAGCTTATAAATTAACTTATTAAATTATTAACTTATTACACTTATAAAAATAACTCATAAATTAATTCAATGCAAATCCTAAGTAATTTGTCTCTGTTTGGGGGTTTGTTATCATACTAATCCAAATCAGTTAGCCTAGCAGAACCAAGGGAAAAAAGCAGCACAATTTCTGAGCTGAATTTCTGAACCACGAGGAGAAGCCATCCATCAAAGTACGTGTGGGTAGCACAACTCTTTGGCAAGAGACAGCAGAAGTGGTAGACACACATTGCTATACACTGTCTTAACAACTCATCTAAGACATGGCTGTGATTTTCTCAGTCCAATTTGCCAAACTGAATGAAATTGCCTACAATAAGCAGTCTTCATTGTAATGATAGAAAAATAACAAGGTTTTTTCTTTCCTTTTAGGGAGCATTGTAGGAAGTTGCAGTAGTTATGTGCAGATGAAAACTTTATGGAGATTTTCTCCAAAACCAAGCTACACATAATTTGTATGCTGTTTATTTTTCCAATATAATCAGTGCAGAAAATGAAAACACTAACTCTGGAAAAAACTTTAGACAGTTTGTACCTTCCTCCTAATTCTACTGGAATTATTTACAGTTAGAAACAGAAATCAATTGTTTATCTCTCATGGACTCATCTCCAGAAAAAAAAAAAAAAACAAAAAACCACCACCATATTTCATTCAAGTAGATTTGCAGCTACTCATTGTCTTTTTAAAATCATAACCTTGTGTTAGCTGAGGTTGTGTAAATTATGCCAGAAATTTTGAAGAGTTTTGGATCAGTGCTTTAATGCCTTTTACAGGATCATATACAGAAACAGCAGAGATGATGTTTTCAAGTAATAATAAGAAAACAATCCATATTGAATCTGATTAAAATAAGTATTACGCTTATTCTGTTCTAAATTAATCATTGCAATATTACCTTTTTATACGTGTTTCAGTATCTGATTGCGTTCTCTAAGAAATGGAAGGAAAGCAATCATAATCTTCAACACGATCACCATGATTACTGAAGCATATAGCACATCCTACCTTGTTTGCATCTTCACATGCCTGGCTGCTCGTACTATCCTTTTGGATTATGTTTATCAGGTCAGCGTGAAATTTTCTAGCATTCAGAAAGACTAATGGGTTGTTGACTGAAAGTATCTTTACCTGTTTTAATGATTCCTGTGGAATGAAATAAACACAATACTGAAAAGATTTTCTTGGGTTTGGAGACTAAAAAACAAATTAATTTGTTTAAAAATCCTGAAAATTTCTGTAAATCAACCTAGAAGGAGATTTGGATTGTGAGAATGCATTAGCACACTACTGTCTTGATCAGTCTTCACACACAACCGAAGTAAAAAAGGAAATATAAGTAACCTATAAGGAAAATTACCCTTAACTCAAGTTAGCATAAAAGAAAAGTCATATTCATTACAATACCTAATACTGAGAACTATCATTTGGTAAATAATAGCAGCACTGTTTCAGTTGATATGATCCCCAAACATAGGCAAGATAAGGTTTGCAGACAGGGAACATCTTTTATTAGACGAACACATGTATTGGAAAAAGTCGACATGGTTTTGGGGCAAACACTGCAGGTGGTTTGGGGAATGCTGAAAATGTTCTTCTTGGTCATCTGGAGATAACTTTAGTACAACAGGGATATTTCTCTATAGAAATACTTAGTGGATCCAGACCAAGGTTGGGCAACACATTTAAAACTTTGCCAGTACGTATCTACAACCAACACAATAAATAATCAGCATGAGAACCAACAGCTGCCCCTGATCCTGTCTCTGCACTTCCTTGAATAAGTTTCAACCAATTCATCAGCTACTTTGAATGAAACTGTGTAGCTCAAATCATAGATGTTACACTGCAGAAAGATTTCTGAAAGACATCAGATAAAGGTCAGAAATCCTAGGTAAACTTCCCAGTGGGGAATGATTCCTACAAAACAAGCGCAATTTTTCTCATTCTCAAGAAAGTTAATATTTATATATAAATATATTGGCTATCAGCAATCATAAACTCAGTTGAAATACTGGTTTTGTAAGGAGGTAGAATTAAACTAATTTTCCACAGGTTGTGAACCATGTCTCTCTTCCATAGGAAAATTAGGTTTGAGACAGACCAAATTTAATGTGGAGCCCAGCTGCTTTGATTTCTGCCGCTTCTACTTCAGACTTGAGGAAAAGTCTGTCAGTCATAAGGGTTTTCTACTTTTTCCAGTTGTATTATTTGATCTAGTAAAAGATACTACATTTACTTATAAATTTCTTTATGCATACTCCACTAAATAACTGTATTAAGTTTTTACACATCTAGTGCTGTAAACAGAAATAAGCAGGATCATGGGAGGTCTGTAGAAGTTACCAATATTTTCAGTATCTGACAAGAATGTACGCAACTAGAGAATCTTAAATAGCCACAATAACACTGCTCATAAGCGCCAGTTGCCAAAAAAGTAATAGGATTAATTTGCCTTTCAGGTATGTCTTTTATGGAAGCTGGCGATCTCTAGGTTACATGTGGAAGTTCAGAGCATTCTCCTTCTAGGTGAGAGGAAAAGATGATCCTTGAATGCACCACGTGAACATTGCACAGCAATGATTCCCCCTAGGTATCTTCACATACAAAACATAGTACAGCCGAGCATCAGCTTCAACAGTCTTCTAAAAATCTTTGCCCCCTTTGGAAGAATAAAAACAGTGTGAGAGACACCATTCTGCTGATTTTAACGAGCAAACACTGCAGCTGACATCACCTCAGCAGGTCAGCAGTAGACCGTGAGGGCAGATCAAAAGATCTGATTCCGAGAAGTTCTCCAAAAGAATTTCACTCCACAAAAGTGTTATATGCAAAAAAGTATCCTACTGCTAAGTGCAAAAAGGGGTCTGGATACAGAAAACATCCATATACTACTGAAATAAAATATCTGATTTGTGTGAGTATCAGCACTCAAAAATGAACTACTTGTGACAATGGGTAACAGGAAGCAAAAAGCCAAGAATTCGCAAGAGAATGCAGGTTCAAAAAGCCTCTCTTCTTCCTGACGAAAGTCAGAGACGTGTAACAAGGTCACACTCAAATTCAAGTAAGTGGAGCTGACACAGATAATTTTTTAAGTAGTTCAAAAAAGCGTGGGATTGCATTGAAGATACGCAGTTTCCCCAACAGACCTTCAAGCAAAACAGGAATGGAAATCTTCACCACAAACCACACAAACTACCTCCTTATTGTAGACTGCTAGTCAGACTTCTGGGAACCAGACGACCTCTCAGACACCACCGCAGCGACCATCATACAGACTAAGAAAACATTTCAAACACCCAAAACTGGGGCAATAAATGCCAGTCTGTGTGTAGAGTCTTTGCACAATTTACCTATAAATGTGATTGTGGCAAATATCACACCACCAACATACCTTGGTCAGTCAAGTGGCAAAGTCTAACTGGCAACCGAAATGGCTAAGATTATGTGAAAGAAAGCTCTAAAACAAGGGCAAAACAGAGGGCAATATACGCTTGAATGCAGAAATACTCCAACATCCCACAGATTCACATAGAAATGATGCTATATGCAGCTTGACGTGGAGACAAGTAGGCACTTTGGTGCCACACCAGAACTGGAAAAGTGGAAGAAAAAAATTAAGAAAAAGGAAGACTGATGCACAAAGATCAGCGCCTGTGGTGATCAAGATGTTAATAAGCTTCCAAAAATACAATGTGGAAAACCTGAAAGGCTCAAATAGTAAAGCCAAATCAAGCAGATGGCAGACTTAGGTGTAATCTTTTGTCCAGGATGGGCACGGACAACTGTGCCGAATTTGGCTCAGTTATTCCTGGCTCTGATTTGGTTCTATCTCCTTTCTTAATAAGAACTGTTCTGAGAAAAATAGACTTCCTCTTTGTCATGTCCTTGCTCAAAAGGAAAGATAATTGTCTGATGTGGCCTATCCTTGCTGTCACTTAGAAGGATATTGGCAATTGCCCTGTGCAGTCTGCACAGCACTGTCTGTGCCTGGGTAAGAGTTCAGTTCAGCGAACGCCTGTGATGCAATGTGTTTCACATAAGCTTCTAAATACCCTCTTGATTTTTTCCACATTAAAATGTCTTTTCTCCTATTGATGAAATAACCCCTATAAATCCACAGACCTTAATGGCAGGGTAGATCATTAAGCTTGCATATTTTCATGTTTAAAAGTCCTGTTGTTTATGTCTAAGCTGTTATTAACCAGGGGAACTTGGATCAGACTAACATTCATACATTAAAAATTACCCTAAATGCCTGCTGCAACCCAGTGACTCTAAATTCAATTAAAGACATTTTTCTAAATCTTAAAAATATTTTCCTTCTTTGTTCTGTGTAATAAGCTCTTGAGCAATTTGCTTTCTTAACAAAATGTTATTTTCCCCACTGTCTGCAGACACTAGTTTGTTATTACTTGGTTACAGGCATTAATCTTAATGATTAAGGCAAAAAAGCAGGGGAGCACTTAGCTTTAAAAAAAGACTCATAGGGATTTGTACAAAAATACTTCGTGAACCGATAAGGAAAAAAAGGAGGCAAATCAAACTTTGGTTATCCATCTCTGACAAAGTTACTTCAATATTTTTCTTGAGAATGAAAAGTGATATAATAATTGACAGATTGTTCAGCCTCGACAACAGTCTTTTCAATTCACGTTTCAGTCTCATCCCCATTCTCATCTACTTGTGACATTCCAGCATTGTTCAGTGTGCCAAAGAAGTAAACGCCTCTGAGCCAAGTTCAGATTTTGAGCCCAAGATAGATCTGATGGAAAACATTTACCAGAAAAAATAAATTCCTTAGAGGAGAGCTTCTTAATGGTGAGATAATAACTGCTGAGCATTTGCTTGCTGATACACAAGGCCCTTCATAAGCATTAGGAAAGGAAAGAAGACATAGTAGAAACTGCCACGGTAGAGAAGGCAGGATGTCCTAGTGATGGGACTCTGTGCTGAAAGGACTCGTGGTTCTACTTCTCTCCTGGCTGCTGAGCTACCATTTCATCTTGGAGGAGGGAGTTCACCTCTCTGGGTCATTACCCTTCTCGTCTTACCGTAGGCCTCACCACAAGCAACTTTGATGATAATTGCAATGAAAATAACTGAAAGAATTTAAAATCTCTTGTAGGTTGAAGTTTGTAGGAAGCCAGTTTTTTAAAGCAGAGTCTTTGAGAGACATTCTTCCGTTTTTCACATGAGGGTACCCTTGTTGAGTACAGGGTGGTGAGATATGTGAAGAAGTCTGCGACAACTTCATGTTGCTGTCTCTCCTTCCCCAGCCACACACTCTAGGACAGTCCCATCACAAGGTGCTGGTGGCAGAAAAGGGGTCAGAAAAGAGACTGTGGATGAAAAGAATATCAAAGGACTTTCAGGAAATGAGGAAATAGACACAGCGATTGTCTGCTCAGATGGCCCTTGCTGCCAAGAGATTTCCTTAGACTTAGGAATTAGGAAACTTTTACAAAGAGTGATTCCTAACTTAAAAGTAACAAATAAAGTAACAAATAAACTAAGATACGGAGAACTAAGAGGACTTGCATAACTTCACTTTGCAGACCAATAGCAGAACCAGGAAGATATTCCAATTTCTGATGCCTAGACTAGTTTTGTATTTACTACGTCATACTGGCTTTAGATTTCAAGTGGTCGTTTCATAAAAACGATCCCTTGACTCACTGATTACAATCTGGTAACCAACTAGAGAAAATAAACAAATCTGAATTAGTGGAACATAGGAAAAAAAAAGAAAAGAAAAAGATAATTTAACTTACACAATTATCTTCTGATTTGTATTTATATTCCACTTCTTTCAAATTTTTCAAATTCAGTGTCTTTACTCTGTAATCAATAAACAGAGAAAATCTGTAAGTCAAATCATCAGGAATCTTTTACAGAAACAGGAAGAGGAAGAGACACAGCACAAAACTACAGTATAGAAGTTTAAAGTTGTGATGATGCAATCCATACATATTCTTGTGCTTATAAAGCTTATTTTTTGTTATAAAGATCCAGTTAAAAGAGTAAAAAGCACATTTTAAAACTAAGGTAGACGATTTTGAAAATTTTATATTATTATTTTTATTTAAATATGAATAGTTAAAATTTATGTTAAATAAAATCTTAATTTTAAGTTTCAATATTGTTTCACAGCTGGCCAGAGAGCTATTCTCAAGTCAAGGTAGTTAATATATAATCTACAACTTCAAAAGTACAGAGATTCAATGAATATTTTTTACCTGTAAAATCATATTGTAAGGAAAGAAAAAAAGATATAGAACAGCTATGGGTCATGAAAACTAATAATGTTTTATTTATCATTGAATTTGATGCATCTCTGTATGATGAAGCAGAACATTGCACTCTGGCTGTTAAAGTGGGGAACTTAACTGGAAAAAACAGTATCCTTATGCTGTCTACACGATCAGTGGAAAGAGAAAATTTCCTTGAAAAAGCAGCTCAGTGTAGGGTCTTCTGCTTCAACATATCATTTGCAGAGGCACATTTAATTGCTGAACAAGAAGACTGAAACCAGCTATCAGCTGAGCTCTGTGCCTAAAACTAAGCAATGGAAATAATCCCAGAATACGAACATTTAAAAGATGCTTCAATGTGCAAAGAGTATTTGCAGGTACTGGGCTTAGCTAAATGAGGCTTGCAAAAGTCAGCTGTTCTCTCCTGTTTGCATAAATCAAACTGTAGCTGCTGCTGGTTTTAATACACTCTGGTACATAACATGTACTACGTCCAATTCTCTGGCATCTGAACAGAAGCTTCACAATAAATCATCTACGGTATTTTTCTTGCTTCGCTTCTGTCAACACTTTTGCCCACAACTGGATGGTTTACTGCATGTTGTCTTGCTAACCTCACCTGTGCAGTACAGATTTTAAGGCTATTAGCTTGTTCGGTGCCTTTAGATTGCATGGACAATCATGTGCAGCCTGTCTGAAGACCACAGAAATCACTGAGAGTCTTATTTACTTTAATTAGTGCAGGTTCAAACTGAGGTCTCTCTTAGATCAGACAACAGAAGATCATGCTTTTTTGCATCAGATATCTCTCTTTTTCTTCTGTTGGAGAACCTCAGACATTCAGGCACAGGGTGCAAACAACATGAAAACTTATCTTTTTATTTACTGTCAGAATTTACAAAAATTTTAGTTGGCGGAGTAACAGGAGGTTACCAAAAAGGTACTGATGGATTCAAGCAGAAGCTGTCTTCCATAATTTGTAATTGCCTTGCAATTTTGAGCTATTTTCATACTGGTTCTGCAACTTACTCTATGAGAATAGAGCTACGCATAAATGGTTAACACCATTAACTTTAACAAGCATTGAATTGAGCTCTCCGTGTTGTACTTAATTTCAGTGGGATTCAATGTTCATGGAAACGACTGTCTGCAAGCAGCAAGTCATTTGCAGGACTAATGATCTATGGATTAATTTTGTAGCACAAAATAGTCATGAATCTCAACTGATATTTTCCTTTACTCATGATCCAGGGTAGCAAATATAATATATGCAAAAGTATATACAAATCTGTGTTAGCTCTAATTTCTTTGTCCTGGCTTTTCTAATTCAAACATCCTCAACTGGTATTTTCCTTTACTCATGATCCAGGGTAGCTAATATAATATATACAAAAGTATATACAAATCTGTGTTAGCTCTAGTTTCTTTGTCCTGGCTTTTCTAATTCAAACATAGAATTTATACTTTTCATTAGACACTAGAATAGCTGTGCAGTTACATTTCACTAAGACATAAGTATAAATAAATAAAAGTGCAAATGTCAACTATGAATTGGAATAGCTGTGCAATTACATTTCACTAAGACATAAGTATAGATAAATAAAAGTGCAAATGTCAACTATGAATTCCTGTGCAACAGAGTATCTAGGAGTATATAAAGACGCTTAGTTACTAAGACTTGCCATACATACTTGCTCCTCAAGGAGCAAAGAAATATCTGATGAAAAATAATTTATATTATTGATCTTTCTGTTGATCTTATGCTATTTTCATCTAATCGACTTGCCAGACATACTTGCTCCTTAAGGAGCAAAGAAATATCTAATGAAAAATAATTTATATTATTGATATTTCTGTTGATCTTATGCTATTTTCATCTAATGAGTCGTAGAGATGTGTAATGCTAGGATAAATTACAAAATAATCATAGAATGATAGAACGGTTTGGGTTGGAAGGGACCTCAAAGATCATCTAGTTCCAATGCCTCTACCACAGGCAGGGACACCTTCCACTAGATCAGGTTGCTTAAAGCCTCATCCAACCTGGCCTTGAACACTTCCAGGGATGGGGCATCCACAACTCCTCTGGGCAACCTGTTCCAGTGCTTCACCACCCTCATTGTAAAAAATTTCTTCCTTAGATCTAATGAAAATCTCCCCTCTTTCAGTTTAAAGCCATTGTCCCTTGTCACTACATGCCCTTGTAAAAAGTTCCTCTCCAGCTTTCTTGTAGGCCCCAGAATACCATAGTAAGAATTGTTTTAGAGATCTTTAGCCTAGAGTAAACGCACAGGTGTGACTTTTCCTTTTGAATTGTCTTATCTTGTAATTTTCTGCAACCAAAAACCTGAAGTTTCATCGTTAAATTTAATCCCAACTGTGAAGCAATATGCTAGAAAGAAGACATAATAATGTGCTACAAGAACGTTTCAAGGAATTTATTTCTCACCTGGAAAAGCGGAAAATCACAATTACTATAGTGCAGACAACGCCATACAACAGTCCCACGTTAGCGGCAAAGCATATTGTAAACACGTAGGTACTAACCCATATGCTCTTTAAGGAGGGAAACAGAAAGAGGTGATTAGTTTTAATTTTTGTGACAATATGAATTTTATGAATCAGAAATAAAGATTTTTAAAATAAAGATAGTTTCTTAAAGGTGAGCATTTGGAACTTTGAACTGGAAAATACTGACTACTGAATTACTGATTAAAATAATGCCTCCCCATAGGGGAACACATATGACATGGTGCTACTCATCCCAATGCTCATAGAGATTCCTTTCAGAATTACTTAAAATAGCATATGTAGTTGTGCTAATAGCATAACTCAGAACAAACTCAGTTGCTTTGTAGAACATATATTTTATTTTTCACACAGCAAGTTTTTGTCACCTTCACTGCATTTACAATGCTCCTTTCCTTTCACACAATGAGGTATCCTAAAGGTCACATACAGAGAGCTCTTCTCCCACTAATTGTATAAGCAGGAATTATAATTAGCAAGGAGGTTGATTAGAAATGGCATTTATCAGAATACAGTTGACTAAACCAACTCTATAACAAATAAAAATTATTCAGGAATTAATTTCTTCACATGGAAATGGTGAGATTTCTGATTATTTCCTCATCTTTCAATATTTGATTAATAAAACCTTGGATTCATTTTAAATATAATTTTAAAAAAATACAAAGAAGTCTATCTGAAACAAAAGTAACTTTGAAAAGGAATTTAAAATACAAAAATATTTTAACATTTCAAATTTTTTGCTTAATTATTTTCTAAACAGAAATGATCACTCACATTTCCATACTACAATGATGTATATGGTAGAGAGATATACAGATTTTACAATTTAAAGGACCAAAGTACAGATTAGTCAATTTTTTGTACCAATCTAACATCAGCACATATTTATTTCCTTGAGGGAGCCTTAAGCAAAGGCTGTCACCTAATCTTTATATAAAAAAAATGTTAAAGAAGAATGGAAAGTATTGTCTTTCCTCTGGATATGCTGATCTCCACAGGTGTCCATTTCAACAATTACAGTGTTTCTTGTTAATGTTTGCAGAGGAACAGATCACATTACAATGGCGCAATCAGTGTTAAAATTATCCTTTCTGATGCTTTCACTTAGCTCAGGAAAGCCAGAGACAATAGAATACTTTCAGTCTAACCACAGGAATTTTGCTTGAGCAGATTTCAGAACTGTTATCTTATGAATTATAAAATGTAAGTTATACCATGCTAATTTGTGCTTCACAGAGGACAGCGTGTTACATGACTCTACCCAGAAACCTTTTCCTCCCTCATCTTCAAAGCTCCAAGCTACTGCAAAAAGTTTTGCAGTCTCTTCAACAGCACAGCTGCTAAATAAAAAGTAGTTTATTCTTTGAAACAGTGTTCAATCTCTAGTTACATTTTAAAATGACATTTTATACAGATTGTTTTGTATATATTTGCAAAGAATACCTTTACAAGCAACAAATATTTAGTTCTGATTAATCAATGACAAAGAAATTCTAAGATTTATGAATCCAATATATATTTATATAGAAGATTGCTGGACATGAAAAGGCTAACAAGTACTACAAACTTGAAATTCAGGTGGGATCAAGAATTAGCCCGTCCTGATAAGGCTAAACCCGTGACAAAGCCTGAGCTCAAGCAATCCACATCAACTGCAGACCTAAGGCTCATCACATCTAACTAAATCACTGCTGCAAGACCTGCAAAACTATTTTGTCTCAGAAGAAAATAGAAAGCATGAAAACTCAATACAAACTCTACATGGGAAGAATCAAAGTAAAAAATGTTTAAGTACTGCTGAGTACTAAGCAGCCTAGTATCGCGTATCTTAACCATAACCAGAGATCGCCATTTTTGTAGAGGATGAGCCAAAACAATCATACTGTGTTCTGTCAATCACCTTTTCAGTGCTTTGTATTGGCCTAGTCAGTGCTTTTTTAGGTAGGGTGGCATCAAACTTGTAGAAAGAAATGATGTTGATCTGCTAGACATTTTTTCAATTCATGAGTTGTCACAAGGCTCAACAAAGAAGTCGTAAAAACATCAAAGTTTTCTTTGGCAACTTACTTCAAGACGGTTATTGTATATTCCAGGACAGATAGAATCTAATCATTCTTCAAATCTTAGCAATTATGTATTATAAACACATATTATTCCCAAAAGGCAAAACAAACTCCAACTTCAAAATATGCTTGTACTGTATTAATCTAAAAATATTCTAAAGAGAGAGAAAAGAAATAAGTAGGAGATATGGATTTATGTAGAATTCTGTATATAACAGAAAGTGTCAGAAGCATTGAGAAGTACTGTGATATAGCATACATAGCAGCTGCCTCTGAAACTCTGTGGACAGTGTGTTTCCACGTAGACTTCACTTCATGTCTACCCATCTACTTTTGAGGAGAGTGTGAAATGGGAACTTAGTGTGTAAAAAAGTATATAAATAGGTGAAGTGGGAGAATACTCTCTGAGCCAATGGCTAAACAACGCAATACTAAGATATTGTGATACCAAATGTTTCTCTACCACTTTGAAACCAGATTATAAATTTCCCTTTTTGTTGCAAACTGAGGAGGTCATGAACTATTGCCTGTATGGGTAGGGTTCATTTCATTTGGCAATAACTATCTACTGCACAGATGTCTACAGCTAATCTCACCCTAATCAATATAGACCTGGTTATAAGAGTGAGGGAAAGTGAGGAAACAGTTCACCTGACTTTTACCTGATTACACTGCTGCCTACTTCAAGAAGAGATGAATGATACCCTAATATGACTTGACTGATCAACTCTGTACTGCCTACAACATGAGGCTGTGATGACTTGCTCATAGAGACCCTTGCTGCAGTCACCAGTATGTAACCAGAAGAAGAATCCTATAAAAGTCCTGTTCATTCAAGGGGTGCTTTGGCAGAGAAGATGCTGAAGTCCAGGAGGAGATTCTGGCTTCAGGGCGGTTGTGTAGCATGGCCAGGGTCCCATGTCCTTCTGCAGGCAAATGACTGTGTGCATACATCCCCAGGGCATCCTTCATCAAAACTTATGATTCGAGTGCTGAAGTGAAGACCACTACAGTCATAAACCAGCAACCACTTAATAGTAAAGTGGCATGGTAGTTCTTTAATAGAATTTTTCACAAACATTCCACACACGATGGTTGAGAAGGTATTTGTTTGCACACATTGCTCTGGAGACAGATGGACTGATATAAATATTATTGTTTAAAAATAATTTATACGGCAATCACACTTTCAAGGGATTAAGCATTTGTAAATTCTTTCCCCTCACTGAGACTAACCACAGCAAAACAAATATAACTCGGGGTAGCATATTCAGTAATGAGGGAAGAATACAAAATCTCCCTAGGATGTCATTCGTGTAAAATTATTATCATACAAGAGATGGCTTCCTACTCTTCGGAAAATTGTTTATATAGCAAAGCCCTCAATGCTCTCGTATGAATCAGGGCCCCTATGTGACGAATACCTGAAAAAATCTAAAAGTTCATCTCCCATCTGAGAATAATATGTTCAAAAGTTCTAAAAATAGGTGAAATTACCAGTGAGCTCCTAAATTCCATGGAAGACCTTCCCTGGGCCCCCTACTCCAGTCTATTTTGACAAAATAGGTTGACAGGGTGGTGACTCCACGTCTTAGAAACTCACACTGGCAAGACCTTGGAGGACGCTTGTCGAAAGTGAGACTGTCTTTGTTGCCTCTACTTTAATTGTTGAATTAGTAGAGTTCCTTACATCCTTATGTATAAATACATGTGCATACACTTACAATTCTTACATCCATAACTACCATCACAGCACCATGCAGGGAATGTGTAATTTTAACCATAAATTGTTGCCTTTTTTTCTGCTTTACAAGTCAGGCATACAACTTAGCTCTGCCTCAGCTGTGGTCATTTCCTGGCAGAGCTGTTTGTACAATTTTTAACACGTTTTTCTCTTTAAACACCACAGTATTTCTCTGTTGAATAGCCCAAATCCCTGTTACATAATTAACTTGTGTAAATAATCCTAATTCTATTGTAATTTTTCACTTAGTGGGTCACCTTCTGAGATACTTTTTCCCATTTTTGTCACTTTCAAGTCCAACTATTAACAGCAAAAAGAACATTTTTCTTCAGCAATCCATTACCAGGCAGCAGTCCTTGCCTAGTTTGAATAGTTGCAGCTCATCTGGGATGCTCAGCCTTAAAAACAAGAGTTAACAAGAACTTGATTGGCCTTTTTGCTGATACTAGGAAAGTGCACTGTCAAGCTGGAGAATAAAAAAGGGAAGTTAGTCAAGAAGTAGACCTGCATAAGAAATTAGGCTGTCAGGAAGGACATGGAACTAAGCTTGATCTAAAGACCCGAAAAATGAGATACATTTACAGAAGAATTCCAGATCAACTTCCTGGTATTTCCCCCAAAGTAGGTAAAAATTCAAGACATCATTCTCAGATTAATGTACAAATCACAGATAACACAGGAATCAGCACCTTGGAAACAGGCAAAAGATGAAGACAGAAGAGGAAGGACAAATATTCTTATGCATACAGTTATGTATTTAGCATATGTAGGGGAATAGAGCAATTATTGATCTGAAATTATTGAAGTCATCCAAGAGGTTGTAGGGACTGACAGAACATCTAAGTGAAGCAAGAGATCTTTGAAGTTCATCTGAGTGCTGTGAATGTCAGGAAAGGGCTCTTTGCAGTAAGGGCAGTGGAGTTCTAGCTGGAAAGAAATTGAATGTGATTTGAGAGGTGGGATGTAAAAATAAGACATCCTTGAGGGCTGATAAAAAACAAGTTGAAAGAAAACTGAAACAAATACACATAATAATATTCAGCTGATAATATTTAATATTAGCTACTTAGGTCTGTCAACCTACCTGCTCCTTTGAACCCAGCTGCTCCTAAACATTAAATCCGCAAGAAAAAGCAATCCCTGGCTGAAAGGAGATTGCATAGACTCACAGACTATCCTGAGTTGGAAGGGACCTACAAGGAGTTCAACTCCTGAGCTGTACCTTTCAAGCTGTACCTTTTACATTTAACAGGATTATGTTTTATAAAGAACTACTCAACAAATAAAAATTACTCCTCTTGTCTGTGTTCAATGAGAAGCTTAAAAAAGTGCACAGGAGCAAGGTAACAAAAGCCATAATATTCTGTGTCTATGCGGTCTCGTTTGCCAGGCCTATGAGCATAACAAACCTGACTTCTATGTTACATGACACACGCCCTTCAAAGAATCAGTTCCAGAAAGGACAGCTGCTAATTATTTCCAAATGTTTTTTTTTACAGTGTCTATCTTGAAAACAGTTTGGATAACCTGAGTAATGGAACCGATTCGTTTCCAATGTGCTGTCAATTGCTGGAGTGAATCTTTTCAGGCCAAAATCAACACCAGTGTAGTTACTCAAATCACTGGGCTTGGTGGGGCTCCTCAGACCAGGCAGCAATGTAAGATCAACGCTTATATCCTTTTTTCAGATGATGCTATTTAAAGCAAGATGATTTACCGTGTCAGGCTAAGGAGTGATGGTGGAAATCCTTGAAGATAAATCATTGTTCAAGTATGCCCGGTCAAAAATATAAACCCAGAAAACTCTCCCTCTCTATAACCTCTATTAGAAACAATGACAGATGTCAGAGATGTAATAATTAATTACTCACTCATTATTTTTTCCAAAACTGCAAAAGTAAAAATCAGTCAGGTTAGTCCGTCTATAAAGACGCATTAAGTCTAGTGATCGTCCAGATGATCCTGCTGGAAAACTTAACTACTTATTACCACAGTGCACTGATAGAGAAGCTATATTTCTCTCCCATAACTACCAATTTTCTTAAGTACGCTGTCCCCAGAATAATTCTTGATCTGCATCATCTGCCCCTTGGGACACTGGAAATCTAGATTAAGCTGAACACCAAATACAGTACAAGTGGTAGAAAATATTTTGATAATTTTGCTGCTTGAGGAACATAAGATTTCATGAAAGATAGAGCTTTTCTTCTGGATGATACAAAAAAAAAAAATCTCTAGTCTTCTGTAATGAAATGTGAAACATCTCGCATAGGCAAAATTGATGTTGTTTACTCATCTCTGCTTTCCCAATGAAATCCACACTTTTAGAAAAAAATGTTTTATTCAGTCTAGATTTACCATTACTGCTGCAGAATTCTAAGTCACTGGTGAGTTCAACAAAGTCCAATATTACCTCCAGTAACCTATGTCTCCCACCACAAAGATATGGCCAAAATACCTTTCTGAAGATCTGTTAACTGAAGCTACATAAAAGTTCCAAAAGCTTTATGGGATGTCAGTATGTATTTGTGTAAGTGGTTAGTGTTTTGGTTCCACTAATTGGTCAATACATTCAAAAACTCCCTCAGAAGAGAAATCTAGGAGTCTTCCTAAACATGGACTCATCTTTAATATTTGCTAGGAATTCTGTGTAAGCATTAAGCTAGATTTTCATACTATGTCTCTTTCCATCTATCTGCTTTTTCTGATGTATTCCTCCTCTCATACTGCAGAATCTTTCAAATTATCTAACAACAGATACTCAGTTCACAAAATCTGAAAGAGTTAAGACAATTTACCTACAGTACCCTACGACATGTATCTTTCTGCATCTCTAGTGTTTTCAGTTCTCTTTGTCCTGTATGGTCATTCCATATCTCCAGAGGACAAAGATACCAAAATCTCTTTGATAATACTACAGTAACAACAGCATGCTAACCAGCCAGTGAAGACACACAAAATTAGACACACATCCACTCAAATTAATCTCATCTGTCTGTATAAATATTTTTAGCATTAAATTTAGGTTTGATTCTTTATCGTTTGCTAAAATTCCATTTTTTAAATACAATTGACATTACAAATGCTGTTATTCTCATATAGAAAATAAGCTGATAGTATGCAAAAACCTAATAATAAGGCTTGCAATTACCTTTTCTAGGGCCACAGAACTTATAAAGTTTATTTAGCAGGTATTTGTTAAAGGGTCTCAGGAAAACCTCTTTAGATTGAGTTTCACTTACCCAGTCTATTTTATCCATATTCCAGTATTTTTTTAAGTCTCGGAACTGCATTAACATCCCTTTCAAGCCCACAACAATAATACTTGCTAGCACACACTGCAAAGAAATAAACACATTTTTAAAAATCCATTTGCAGAATTGGTAGTGAAAATGAATGCTCTTTCTTCAGTTTAGCAGTCAATATTGTATTTAAATTATCAAAAAACTGGTTAGTGTTTCAAAAATGAGATAAGAACAGGTGTCCTTCGGACAGCAACGTAACAGTATCAAACCTAATTTTTCTTTCCTGAAGGCATTCTATAGGCCATCCGATTGTGAGAAAATAACAGAAACTTCAGGCCATCCTGAGACCCTCCATGTGTCACCAGACCAATGACATTCTGCCATAGTCCGGGGGACTCGGGAGCAACTCAGCACTCGGTTTCTACAGAGTGAAGAATTTTAATTCCCCTTCTTCATCACCTAGAGAAAGCCTCCAGAGCAAAAAATCCATTAACTTTGAGGCAAACAAAATAATTTATTGTTCTCCAAATCAGAAAGGGGGAGGAGAGGGATGAAAAAATCATCTGAAGCCAAAAAGATGGAGTACAAAGCGACAGATGTGCAATGCAGGGGTGGGGAGGGCTGAAAAAGCATAGTAGAAAAGAAATAGAATATCAAGAAGGCAACATATGAAAAGGTTTTTTTAAAATATGGGGAAGAAAGTCAGTAAAAAAAAGACAGTCAAAATTAACATATAATCTATATAAAAAATGAGGAGAGGAAAGCAGTATAGTAAGAAAAAAGACATATTGTGTATCCTTCTTCGAGTGTACTTGCATGATTAAAATAAACTATAAAAGGATGTGTTTGAAAAGTGACAACTTTCATGTGACACTAAACAACAGCACGAAGTAAATTTAAATTACAGTTGAGCTGAAATTTCATATACAAACATGGCAGAATTACAGATAATTTTGAAGCTGTAGTTTGCATCTTTGGCATGCCTCTAGTTAAAATTAGCTATTAATTTGTAATACCAAAAGCTAGATATAGTTCACATGAAAACACACCACATTGCTTCAGAGGATGTATTCCATGACAGAGATATAAGAATATCTCATCTCTTTCAGTAATTAAGTTAGATCTCTATCTACAATCATTTGTGTCATATTTATTTGAAAAGCAAAGTCATACATCATATGCATAACTGGAGAAAACTTGTAGATCTTCATTAATTTCTACCACACTTTGCCAATTTACAAATCCACAGCAATCTGGATGTTTATGTTTCATAAACTACATGCCAAAAGTAAGTAGAAGAGAAATGCTTTCTTATATACTTACGCAATAGCCTGTATTTCAACTATATATGTGTAAAATGTGTCTGTATTGTGTTGTCACTGCTGTATTTCATGATTTTGAGGCTTGCTGTGCCCTTACTATTCTTTCTTCCATCGAAATTCAATAGAGCTGTTTTAGAGGTAACATTGTCCTTCCTTAAAAGAAATTAAGTAATAAGAAAATGTCTGACATAATCTTTAAAAAATATTAGTACCATACCATAGGCAGCCAGTATAGCATAGGTCCAATTGCATAGATCACCACAAGAATTAATGCACCAGAGACAAGGCAAGCCACCTAAAACAAATAAACAAGAAAAGCAGATCATTCAATCTAACAAAAAAAAAATATTAAAGGATTAATTAGCAAATATTGTAGATAAAGTTGAGAATGATTGAACATCTTAGCTATTAATATCTCTGTGGATTGCAGATGCATATAATTTCAGGTTTAATCTCTGGTGATTACCTTCAGCCAACTACAGTAAAAACATAGTAAGAGATCTCAATATCTGTGCTTGACCCTGCTGACAGCGCAGACAGACCACAGCATCACTTACACACTCGGCTATTAAATGGAGCGTGTGTGCAACACGTCCTCCCAGAAGTTTCGCAGAACCTGCTGTCATTCTGTGACGTATTTATAGCCATGCACCCTATGTTGCACTGAATCACAGACATGTCACAGCATGGAGCAAAACTGATCTATGGAGAACTGTGTTGTTTTCGCACAAGAGAAGATTTCTAACATCTTTTACTGGAATCAATGCTAAAAGGAAATGGTTGTGTTAAGTCAGAAACCACTAATTTCATGTTATTATCAGTAGACTTTAGAAAATGTCAGAACAAATTTTTAAATATATATTAAAAATTACAATTAATGCAAGTGACGTGAATCCTGACAAACATATGTTTTAAGAACTTTTATAATTATAAAATAAATAACAATTATATTTCTTCAGAGTATTATATAGCATTAATCTGATGGAAGACTACAGTAAAATTGCAGTCTCCTACTCCACTATGACTGCTCACAAAGTAGACTTCTTTTGGTCTCATTAAGATACAGTCCAGATTCACAGAAGGTTTTTGATGATAAGTAGACAGATGCTCACTTTATTTTTATATTGATAATATGTTTCTTTACTAAAATAATTAAGTTTCATTTTAAGAGACAAGTTGTTAAAAACAAAACCAGACAAGTTGTTAAAACACTAGAAAATTAAATCTATGGTGTACTTAAAAATACCCTCAAGAAGGATAGACAGAGTGTTTACACAAAAAGGGACACAAAATCTGCTGGTAAAGTCACAAGGAACTTTTCCCTCTTTCTGCCTTCCCAAAAAGCAAAAAAAACCCGTGCTGATTCTATTTGAAGGACACTTCCAGCCCATGATATGATCCCTCACTTCAGTTTTCTCCCAGGAAAAGATATCACTGGGGAATAAATGACATCACTGAATCTCAGCCATAGCCATTGGAGACAAAAGGGCTGCTCTGAGCTCCTGGAAGGCTCTTTGCATTTCTTTCATGACATATGCCAAAGTAAACTGACTTCTCTCTATGTAGTCAAAGCAACTCCTCGCTCTTCTTTTTGTCTATAATCCGACCACCATTCATTCTATGATGTTCGTCTCATCTCTTCATTCTGCCTAGACAGCTGTACTGGGTTTGTGTGGAAAGGTTTTTGTAGTGGGAAGGCTACAGGGGTCACTTCTTTGAGAAGCTGCTAGAGGCTTTCCCTGTGTCCGATAGAGCCAATGCCAGCTGGCTCCAGGATGTACCCGCCACTGGCCAAGGCTGAGCCCATCAGCAATGGTGGCAGTACCTCTGAGATAACATGGTTAAGAAGAAGGAAAAAGCTGCTGCGCAATGGCTGCTGGAGCGAGGAGTGAGAATATGTCAGAAAAAACTCTGCAGACACCAAGGTCAGTGAAGAAGAAGAGGCGGGAGGTGTTCCAGCCACCATAGCAGAGATTCCCCTGCAGCCTGTGGTGAAGACCATGGTGAGGCAGGCTGTGTCCCTGCAGACCATGGAGGACCCCACGCTGGAGCAGGTGGATGCCTGAAGGCGGCTGTGACCCTGTGGGAAGCCCACTCTGGAGCAGACTCCTGGCAGGACCTGTGGACCCAGGGAGAGAGGAGCCCATGCTGGAGCAGGTTTGCTGGCAGGACTTGTGACCCCGTGGGGAACTCGCGCTGAAGCAGTTCATGAAGAACTGCAACCCATGGGAAAGACTTATGTTGGAGAAGTTCGTGGAGGACTGTCTCCCGTGGGAGGGAACCCACAATGGAGCAGGGGAAGAGTCTGAGGAGTCCTCCCTCTGAAGAGGAAGGAAAAACAGAGACAATGTGTGATGAACTGACCTCGACTCTCGTTCCCTGTCCCCCTGCACTGCTCTGGAGGAAGAAGTAGAAAATATCAGGAGTGATGTTGAGCCTGGGAAGAACGGAGGAGTGGGGGAAAGGTGTTTTTTAAAGATTTGGTTTTGTCATCTGTAATAATAGTTTTCCCCAAGTCGAGTCTGTTTTGCCCATGACGGTAATTGGCGAGCGATCTCCCTGTCCTTATCTCGACCCACGAGCTTTTTGTTATATTTTCTTTCCCCTGTCCAGCTGAGGAGGGGAGTGACAGAGAGGCTTTGGTGGGCACCTGGTATCCAGTCAAGGTCAACCTATCACAACACTCCCAAAAGTAGAGGATTGAGGGATGTGTCACTTTCCAAAAGGAAGGCAGAAGAGAGAATTTTATGTTTACCAAAGTACTCTCATAGTGCTGACTCATGGCCACACTCTTAACTTTTGGACGCAGGCTCTGCTACACTGTGAAACCAACAGATAAAACCAATCAGACACTTATTATTTTTACCATGTACTTTCTATCTTGAAATCAAACCACAGTGGTTTCTTTTTCCGTTTCATATCTTGAATAACCTATCAGCGCCTTTACCTACATGTACCAGAGTCAAAGTACTAGGATAACCTATATGCCTTCAGGTTACCCATATAGGTCTTCAGGTTACCCTAAAGCTTCCTTGGAAAACCATGATGCAGTACAACCACAAATTATACAGACAATAAGTGAACAAGTAACAAAAGAGTATTTCTGTGAGGATGAGAGCACATGGTATGACATTGAATCCAACTCAAAGTTAAGAAATAGCTAACAGCAAAGTGGTAGCTAAATTATTTGCATATAAATGCTTTTAAAGATGGTTATTGGATAAATTATTCATTATGATTAATTGAGTTCAGAGTACTGTGTAGGGTAATCAGCAAGTAATTAACATGTAGAGTTTTGAAATAAAACCCTGTATCATTTCTTAATATTGTGGTATCTGGATGAGAAATAATTGCAGGACACGGTCAAGAAGAAACACCACCTATAGACCATGCTTTGCCTTGTCAGTTATACCTCATTACCCTTTTCCTTGTAATTAATGTCCTTTACACAGGCAAGAGCAACAGATATAAAAAGACAATAACAACAAACTCCAAAGGACATAGCATTTATATAGCAGGATGCCACCGATGGACCCTTGAGTTTCAGAGGAAGGAAGGAGAGGCAGTACTTAGGGAGCTGTCCCAGGGATGTCCCAGCTGCGGTGGCCCATGTGGTGCCACTGTTCGCAAAGGTCACAGATGAGCAGTTTGCTGCCTCTCTTATTTACTGGCATGGCTCAAGGGGGTAACAGCCTTACAGGATCACAATTATCATTTTCATCAACTGTAGTTCCCTCTTTTCTGAGCTACTGCAATATGATCTTGTGAGCCCAAAAAGTCCTCAAAAACCAGAGTATCATCTCCATGGGCTCAATGTATACTGAGACATAGGACAAGTACACCATGTCATAAGGCAGAAGTTGGGAGATTACTTGCATTTTTTAAAGAAGCAACTCTTAAGTTTATTTTCACTTTATTTTGAAAATCAGATGGAAGCACTAAATCAAATCTGATTTGTTCTAAACCTTGAGTTAGCCTGTTCCATTAAATCTATTAAACACCATTAGAGGGCACTTTTGTTACAGTGCTGATAAATTCACATAAAACTGAAAGAACTTGTGCGTAGTTTCCTGCAGTCTGAAAACCTGACTCCTAACCGCCTTACTGCCACAGACTTTAGAGCTTACATTAAATTAAACAGGCAAAAGTGAATAAGTGGAATTATCAGCGTTTCTTGTAAAACAGTTGCTGATCAGATACAATTCCATGCAGATTGTTAAAAATGGCAGGGCAGAGTCGTTTCCCAGGACAGAAGAGGAAGAATAGAAAAATACAATGGATAAATCAGTACAAGTTCCAGTGAGCTGTACCATAGCTTTAATTTTGCTACGTACTTCACTCTAACCCGTTACCTGTGTTTTGGCGCCCGTACTGTACAAAAGTGCCGTCCGTCCCATCGCCGCAGCACTTGGTATGCAAAAGAAAAATGAAGGAATCACGTTGCTGAGGCCATGAGCGAAAAATTCCTGCAAAGTTGTTAAATAGAATATGTTTTTTTCCTATTGTTCTGTCATTTCAATGCTTCTTGCCAACAAAGGAGTCCTCTGTGTAAATATTAGCAATGACAAAGGATGGCCATATTTTTCAGGGAAAAAAATCACATATGTACATGATAAAAGATCTCCCAGCATAATACATCTTCTCACAACTCAGAGCTAATTTGAACAATAGAGCTGCTCAACTAGATTCATCACAAGCAGGAGGCACATTTCATTCATAGAATAAATGCTTTTGCTGAGTTTTGCAGATGAAGTTCAGCCAAAATATTAACATCTTGATCCACATCTGCTTTTTAACAGGCCAGAGTCTCAAGTAGTGGGATCTGGACAGTGTCCAGGTTGTTTCTGGCTTATGACTCTACTGAAAAAAGACAGCCACTGATTTTTTTTTTTCTTTTGGAGCATGCTTTAGTGAAAGTGAAGTATGGTAGCAATACTATCTGCATACCGTTTTTCATTACAAATGTGTTTGGTGTTTATTCACAGTAAAAATGCAGCCATGTCTGAACAAAGGTTCATAGAAGAAAAAGTAGAGAAGCCACCTCGTATCTGCATCCTAAGCTGAATAGCGTTTTCTGCAAAAGTGTCTCGACTTGGCTACCCAGCACCAGTCTTCTTCCCCAGACTATAAAGAGCTCATTCATCTGCTGAGAGCAATGAGTAAGAAGAGATCTCAGTACTGCTAGATGTACTTAGGACACAAATAGTGTTGTATCCAGCCAGGGCAACACCAGATCATAAGTTTGTCTTCACAGCACAGAACAGCACCACCTTAGAGCTCCCCAGGCAGCCTCACACACCACATAGAATCAATCATAGAATCATAGAATCATAGAATCGTAGACAGTTGAGTAGACAAGAACATTCTGATCATATTTTCATTTACAGTAAATCACTTCAGACAAAGGTGGGGGTAGCATTTTCATCACACGACACTATTGCCAGTTATCTAAAATCGAGTTATTTCTTACCACAGTGCTTGAACTGTTGTCTCCACAGATTTCCAGTTGGCTTGGAGTTACCCACCCACCATAATCAGCGGTGGCGTAATGCAGAAAGTAACATCCTACTTTTATTTAAGTGTGTCCACTCCAAAGTGGAACTCTGCACAGAAAGGTCCTATGGCTGCAAATTTAGCAGCACTTCCTGAACACACCTTGCTTCTTTTATACAAATAAACCTTTATTTCAAAAGAGACTTCTGCTTTCTACTTCTACTTCTGCTTCATCTTATAACATCAGATAAGTCCTGGGGCTATAAGTAACTGGTTTATTTTTATAACTGCTTTGTTTCTTTGATCAGTGGCTGATTTAACATCTTAGCTGGTCTTTAAGAGCTCAGCTGCCAGAGGAGAAGTCTCATCTTCAAGCACTGGAAAATGCATTAACACCCAAATGCTTCACCGAATGCAGCATTACGAGATTATCTTGAAGGATGCGCTTCCCCAAAAGGAGCATCTCGCCTAACTAGGGCATTTTGCAGAGCTGATTCAGACTAGATTTGGGGTTTACTGTAATCACTGGAAAGCCTCAGGATGCCATATGGAACATAACATACCGTTTCTTACTGGTCATTCATCTGTAATACATTTCCAAAATGGTGAAGCCATTTCAAGGCTTACTGAGAGTAAGGAGAAAAAGCTTTACCTGGTTGTCATCCACAGTGTACTTAAACTTCTTAGCAGAGCTTTGGGCTAGAGCTAGTGATGCTACATAACCAACCAGTGCTACTCCAAAAGCTTCAGTGACTACTTCAGGCAGGACATTCATGGGTGGTGCTTTCGGTGATGGTAACCTATAAAAAATAAAGACAATCCTTTTTGCAAAGCCTGTAACATAGCCTCGATACGGCTGCAATTCGTGAAAATACAATAGAAATAATCTTTACATGAACAGTTGATTTTTTTAATACTTTTGAAGTTACATTTTTCAATATTTTAGATTAGTAAGATCTTGGTCTATGAGGAACTGCAGAGGAGAATTTGTACAGGAAGATGATACAGTTTCAGATAGAGTCTTCTGTTTGCAAGCTTAGATTTGAGAAATTATAAAGAGATCCTTATAAATTAGCTCCGTTACCAAATTTTGTAATACGCAATAAATGAAACTCTATCATGTTTTGTTGGGGTTTTTTTTTATATAGTTTGTTTTCCTATAAAGTTTAATTTAAACCTTTTAAACAATTTAGTATTCCTGTAGGTTACGGACAGTGTGGACATTTATTCTATTTAATGGAGACCTTCCAATGGAGATTGCAATGAAATGCCCCAGATCGTGCTCCACTAAAATATCTCAGTCTCTCCAGAGCACAAATGACACTGCCTAAGAGCCAAACTGTGCTCTGAAGGTTTCTAATGCTCTCCACTGACAAGGCAGTTAGATATTTCAGGTAGGTGCCTAAAAATACATAGGAATGATCCAGATTCTGCTTGTGTTTTTCAACACTACAGAATCTGCTCGTGTGAGGTTAGAGAGAAAATAAGCTCCTGAGTAAAGCTACAATACAATTTAGCTGTTCATAACATATATAAAAAGGAGATACTTAACCCTGTTTTAACCTCAGATACATAGCATGTAATATAATGCCCTATACACTTAAAAACAATTTTCTTTCTCAGTGACTTCCCTTATTTTATTTCTATCAGCGCCAGCTGCCACACATGCACCCATGTTGTCTTAGACTGCTTAAGAGTCTACTTTGTGAAATTTGGGGAAACCCTACAATTTCCAAAAGGGACATTACAAAATAGCTGTGCTATTCCTTACCAACCCTTAGAGTTTGAACATTCCTCCTAATATCTAATCTAATTTCTCTTTCCAGCTAATCGTACTGAATTTTTTTTTCCTTGTCTTCAGGGTCACAGAGAAAAATGTATGACTATCTGTAGTCAGAATGTTCTTTTCTAGATCAAGCATATCTAAATCCTTTACTTTTCCTCAGAAATCCTATTTTCTAAAATTACTGTATAATTGAGTGGAGAAGAATGAAGTGTAATAATCTACAAGTCTTATCTCATTGCAAGTCCTTTCTGCTACAATAACCCAAGGCAACCTTCAAAAAGCAGATTGCAATAATCTTGTAGAGGGTGCTCTGCCCTCCTGTCATACATCCATCAGCCATCATCAGGTACTTAGTACCTACTTTTTATTCCATAAAGTCATGAAAAAGCTATGAAAAGGTACAAGAAATTCTGCATACATATATACCTTGTTAACATGGGGATGAATTGTGAGATAGTATTTGAAGAGGTTGGAAATTAACACAATAGATTTTTGCCATTTCTTATTTCAGAAAGCTTCTTTGACCTCTTCAGAGACTTCTCAGAATTAAACATATTTAAAAGCCACAAGCTAATAAAAAACACATTACCCTTCAGGAATAGGTCCCACAACTTGTAACCCGTAGACGTATTCCATATCAGCATAGTAGCAGGCAACAGATGTAGCAATTATCTATTGATTCAATACAGAAAAAGATGATATGTTTGTATCGCTTTTAGCTTCTCCCATGGTCCCCATTATTGCCATACCTAAACACCTGACAGTGTTCACACATTTATTCTTACATTAATACAGTAAGACAGGGAAGTATATTACAAAAATATTTGCAAATATGGAAGAGAGGCAAAAGAAACTAAGGTTCAGTTATTTGCTTAATCCTTAAAGTAGGGATTTGCAACGCAATAGCTAATTTCAATTTAGCCTATGCCACATGAAAGGAAAACTGTAAGGAAAATTAAAGAAAGCAGTAGCACAAGTATTTAACTTTGTTGCAGATAAATAACAAGCAACATCTAAGCCACAACTACCCAGCACAAGCCCTGCCTGGAGTTACGATGTGCCAGTTACTTTTCATTTTCTGTTTAAAACTTACGCTTCAATGTTCTAGACATCATGTTCTTGTGATTATGTAAAAAGTAGTAAACACATGAAAAATATTATACAGTTTGGGAATGTATGTCACTTCTTTCTTGATTATTTAGCCGGACTGTTTCCTGTTCTTACATTTAACATGCAGCCATGAAAATTAGTTATCCATTTAATAAGCAGCAGGTGTGGCTGTGAGTAGCTATAGACAACACAGTAAACTGCAGCAGATTAGTTGTACCACTGAAAGCTCTGCAAAGCAGAAAGTTTGATGTTTGATTTTGTACTTACCAAAACTAGATCAATGGGAAGAACAACTTTAACATTTCTCTGAAATTTCTCATTCAGTTCTTTAACAAGAACAAGAACGACAATGCTCAGCAAGGAGAGAAGTAAAGCCTCCAACTGAACTGATCCAATATTCTCAAATATGTAGGCATAAATCTACAGTGAACGACAAATAAAAATGACAGATCAAAAAATACATCATTCTAGGTCATGATTTATGGCATATTCTACACATATTCAGAAAACTCAAAGTATCCCTGAAAGTTGAATCAATACTGCAGGAACTGAGTTATCCGACAAGCTGGCTTTCACTTAAGATTTTGCAAGGAAGAAAATCACCAATTTATTATTGCTAAAATACTATGGGTTTTGGAAAACTCAAAAAAAATCAGTGAATATATATATATGTGTAGTTACAAATTTATATTGGTAGAAGCAAGCAAGAAAATTCCAGTAAATGTGATATGTGTCCTTTTCTTATTCAGTCTCATTAAATTCAGTGAGATAAATGAGCATTGCACAAAAATGTTGAGAGATGCTTACATGTACAAAGATTTATTTTCAGTGTCCTTAGCTCATAACATCCATCAACTCTAACACTAGAAGTTACTTCTGAGGAAGAATTTTAAAAGACAGGAGGAAAGAAAAAGAGACAGGAAGAATAAAAAAAGAAAGAAAAATACATTAGTGGCTGGATGGGAAGAGAAGTAACAGGAATCTTCCTAGATGTGCGTCTTCTTCAGGGCATCCTTTCCAGTGCATGACGGGGTCCACTCAAATATTTTTCCAGAGTAACTGTATAACTTCAGCAGGGCACACTCAGTCTCTTTGGGTTGCTCTTGCCCATTGTACAAACAGTGCTCCATGGAGCATGCTTTGATCAGGTCCAGATGCTGCACACACTAATTAGCTGTCACACTCTGTGTGCCTATGTTACTAGCTATTTAAACAATAAATATTGTATTAGTGTTGTCTACTAATCCCTGTTTCTTTCCTTCGCATAAACTTACAAGTTAAAAGCTGCAAAACAAGAGGGAAAAAGATGGTAGGG